ATTCAGGCATTACAGTTTGGCCTTCAGATTGTTGTCCACCTCTCTAGTCATATTTGGATCGAGTTGGACACCAAGGCTCGTGGCAGATTCAGCACTCGCTTATGCGCATTAGAGCTCTACTTCGGACTGTCCATCACAGGATCACGCACAGCTTTCGTGAGGGGAACAGACCTGCGGACTACCTTGTCAGCCTTGGCGCCACCATACCAGACCCACGTACGTTTCAGACCGATACTGCTCCACTCCACCTTCGCACGCTTGTACAGATGGACCAGCTTGGATATCCATCGTTCCACTTGCAGTAGATTAGGACTATTGCTTTCTTTATATTAGACTTTTATTCCGGGCACCTGTTAGCCCGATGAAAGACCTTGTATTGTTATTTCTCTTCTGCCTTTTGGTTTGCTCGTAAGATATTGTAGTCTGTTGATATTTCGAGCCCCCGTTTTGGGGGCATTGATCTATGCACAGGTTGGGGATCCGGCCCAATCCCCCGCCCTTCCGGGGCCTTTTTTTTGAAAAAAAAAAAACTTATCAACTACAGACAACTAACCTAGCAACTTTAGAGAACTAACCTAGCAACTACTAACCTAGCAACTACAGAGAACTAACCTAACAACTACATAGAACTAACCTAGCAACTACTAACCTAGCAACCACAGAGAACTAACCTAGCAACTACTAACCTATCAACTACATAAAACTAACCTAGCAACTACTAACCTAGCAACTACAGAGAACTAACCTAGCAACTACTAACCTATCAACTACATAGAACTAACCTAGCAACTACAGACGACTAACCTAGCAACTACAAAGAACTAAATTAGCAACTATAGACAACTAACCTAGTTGGAAGGTTAGTTGTCAACGGTCAACGCCGAAGTCAACGCCAGAAGTCAACGGTCAACGCGAAAAATCAACAGATTTCGCCAGAAGTCAATGCCGGAAGTCAACGGTCAATGTCGGAAGTCAACGGGTAAAAATAATATTTAAATAATTAAAATAAAAAAAGGAAAAAAGTAAATCCTGGCCACCAAATCTTGTGGCTAAAAATGAGTCACGTCCTCATTTTAAAAAAGCGGCTGCATTTGAACTATACCCTATATATATATATATAAACAAATAAGAACAAGAAAGAAATATATTAACAGTAATAGCAGCTCATAGATCTACTCTAAATAGGGTTTGTAGATATTAGCACCTTTAACAATAATTTCGTGCATTATCATGGGAGGCCATTGTCTGCAGGGTAACTCCCAAGAACCCTCATAAATGTTGCAAACTCCTGCCAATGTTGCAACGTCGTTATGTTGTCCCACAAAAAAATAATTCTACAAGCAGGACCACAAGATGGAACACGTCTACCTTCAGATGACCTAGAGCATTTTGAGCTCTTTCATCTGCCATTGAAGCTTCAAAATCAACATAGAAAAGATAAGGAAAGTATCTGCAAAAGAATGTGAATCATAAATTTAGACAAGAAAAATATTGAGAATTGTGTGCAGTCATTCACAATTTTAGAGGGGTTTCCAGCCATGATTCTTAACAGCAGATAAAAACATATTATAACTAGATGTAAATCAGTCAACAACACTAAATTCTTATAAGATTTTATTTAGGTAAGACAAATGGATATATGCTGTGCTTACTTGGGAAAGACAGTGACACCATCATCGGGTGCCTGCAATGCCCGTTTCTGTAGTGGACGGCTTTCAATCTACATCAACAAGAAAGGAACATTACAGTTGACCATAAACGATAGAACCCATCAAATACAACCATAGAAGGTGGTTGAGATAAACATCACCTTTGTAAGGTTGATATTCCTCATAGCAAATACAGCAAGTGCTTTAAAAAGCATTCCAGGACCTTCCTCAAGCGAGAAGACAATACTTGTCTGAAACACAATTTATTAATGAAATGGCCATGAAGAAAGAAAGTTAGTCACTACTGAAGAATGGACTAATGGAGTAGATTCCAAAGTCTGAATTTCAAATCTGTAACTCTTTTATCAGTTGTACTATAACTCTTATTTTAGGAGTCGCTGACCTTGAAAGGTTTATCAGTGCCTGGTATGATAGGTTCCCTAGCCAGCATAAGGAATCTAGTAACATTATCAGAATCATCCTGGAAAGAAAATGCAGAAAAATGTCAAAATGTTTCTGATCCTTAGATATTCATGAGTTGAACTATATGTATAAAACAAATATGCAAAATACCACAGCAGACCTGTATGTCTTGAGCGAGTACATTCAAACCATAGATCTTAGCAGCAGCCATGCTAGCAACCGCCCCAGCATCCTTAACTTTATGGAAAGCAATGTGCTAACATACAATAAGGAGAAGCGTAAGATACAAAATTAGGTCCAACTCATCATAAAATCTTACCAGTGAGAGAAAAAAAATAATAATTAGTCTTCCATTTGGAATCTATATACAGAGTACCGACACTTCTTGCTTTGCCTTAGACTATACATCTAAATTCCTCTAAAATAATATGCCAGGAAAAAAAAATACACAAGTCAAGTTCCAGAACAGTGATTAAAAAGGCGGACGGCAAGCTGAAGCGACATGCCTCCGATTTGCCACAGCGTGAGGCATGAGACGAGGACCTCTCCTTATTGAAGTATTCAAAATGTATATAGCTAAAGTTATGATATAGTTAAAGTATTCAAAAAATCAAGATATATTATATAATTCACCAGTTATGATATAGTTAAAGTATTCAAAATGTATATAGCTAATAATATACAACAAAATGCTACACATTAGAAATCCTTTATCAAATTGAAATAAATCCAACATAAAACAAAGTAGCAACATCATTCAAATTTATATATTCTTTGCAATTCGATCCACAAGCTGAATGCCATACGCTCAGCTGAAATAAGCTTACTACCGCCCAGCATGGTTTTCTCTTTTCTGAGAAAAAAACAAAAGGTAAAAAACACATGAAAAAGAAAACACTGCTCTCAAAACTGCCGGAAACATCTCTAGAGGCACCAAAGCCAGCGGCATCCATCAGCGAATATAAGTAAAGCAGGAAGCCTCAGAAAAACCAAGGGGAAAAGGCTTAAAAAGAGGGAAAAGTCAAAATAAAACAAAGCGAAAAGACACGTATCAGCCCATCGCAGAAATCCAATCACCGGTGGCCTGAATCGGGTCGACTCAATCGGGGGAGGAACGAGAACAAGTTGATTTAAGTTCTAACAGGTGTAAATAAATAAATAAATATATAAATGGTAGCTTCAACACCTAAACTATAATTTGTTCAAATTGATGCTGCTCGCCATGCCACACACCTCGCCTCTGGTCGCCACACATAAGGCGCTCGACTTGGCGGCGCCTTTGGCGAGGGCGCCTTGCCACATGTGCTTGAGGCGCCCAATGGGTGCAACACCTCGCCCTACGCAATGGCGACGCCTTTTTAAACACTGTTCTAGAAGATTTCATTATTTTCCGGCACACCATTATGGTTACAATTTTTATTCACCTTAGCAGCCCCAGCAGTATCATCCACAGCTTCTCTAACCAATCCCAATTTAGTCAATGTGTTCTCACACTGCGCAAGAGCCTGAAACAGCCATAAGTTGTGAGCTTCACGTCCAAGAGAATATGAAACAGTTTTACTTTGTTTGAGCCTTTGAGGTACCTGTGGATGGCTAAGGACCCGATTAAGTTCCTCAATCTTGATGCCATGATTAGCTAGCAAGCAATGTCTAATTGCAAGTTTGACTTCTCCAACAATATGCAGTCTGTGTCGTAGTAGAAGATCATAGTTCCTATGAATGCTTCCACCCAAAGAATTCTCTATAGGCAAAACTGCTCTATCAACAAGCCACCTTTCAACAGCCTGTAAGGCAAAGGAATAAATAAAGATAAAACAGCAAAGTTACCTAAAGCTGCTAAATAGGTATTTAATGGAGACATGTTTCCTCTTCCAAAATTACACTCAATAAATGATGTTGCAAATGAATAGAAAAGAAAATAGATCAAATCTTGACCTTTTAAATATGAAATGCCTACAAACACAAATACAATTGACTTGTGGTGCCCACCAAACCACATCTTATTGTTACTATACTGAAAGATATCTCATATTCCTTTCTGAAGTATGCAGGCACACCCACTTCCTTTTTTTTCCTAGAGCCTATGTCAATTAGCATAAGCACAGCATTTTATGGATCAGCCCTACCACAACAGTAGTGAAAATTCAGAAAAATGTAAGAGCTACAGAACCGAACTCAAGTTGCAGTTGAAAAATTCTCCAACTCATCAAAGTAAGAAATAGTTATGGAAATTACATAACTAGAAACCAAACAGTTTTCCTCTCATAACGAAGATTTAAGATTGTCCTTGACCTAAGACCCCCAAAAAAAAGGGAAAAGAACTATTCATGATCATGGAATGCACCATCACTTTTTGGATATTTCAAGTATCATTTGAAGGCTTGTATCATATTGAGCACGGTATGAAGTTTCAAAAACATTTGGTTGTACAGATTATTTGAATCAAGCTTTATAGTAAGGGATCTAGTTAAACCCCTTCTTCCTTACCTAGTTACAATTTCAAATATGAAAAACAATCTTATCATGGCCAAATCATCCTACCAACTTCGTGTGGCTTCTAGTATATCGCTCGAAGGAATGAAAAGTTTCCACTTCAAAGGGCAACTCAAAGGAGCCACCAAAAGAAACCAGCTTCTTATCAAAGATCAAATGAGTCGTGAAAATGGTACAAATGTTTTCAAAAAAAATCACAGGTGATGTGACTTGTTTTTAGTGCATCACAGATAAGAGTGCATGTCATTATCGGTTATCACACATATGAAACTCAATGCTCAGCCTCACAACAGCATAAAACACACAGTCACAGACATTTGGGCGACTTGAAAATGAAACTATTTCACCCAGAATCATATACATCTTCACTGAACTAGAAAGCCAAAAACTAACTGTGAAATGAACTGAACTTGTTAAGGACTCTAGTAGAATGAGCTGAATAGGATCTCATTACATCCGTATAAAAATCAAATTCTAACTCAATTAAAAGCTTTTTGGCTTTAATTGACGGGGAAAGCATCACTACTGCACACTTCGGCTACATTTATGCAAAAGGATATGATACATAAGAATTTGATGTCTTGTCATTCATCATAATATAAATGACCAATACCACATCATTTTGAAGAACATTTTGTTGCACAATGTAAAAGCCGAATTCAAATGCCCCAGACAATAATTCATGAAAAGTATATCGAAAAGGTAGATGATTACTGACTTCAAAAGCCGTGTCAAATTGCTCACAGGGGACTGCTTCACAATTGGGGTACGCCTTCTCTGCTGCAGATTCACTATAAGCACCTCGAACACCCTTTCAAAAATTTGAACTAATATCAGAAATATCGACTGGCAACATAATGGTCCACTGGAAGCACAATAGTCAAAGTACGTACAGTACAGCCTCTGCACACAGCACCATATACCCCATCACTTGTACCACAAAAATTAACCGAAAAAAAAAATAAAAATAAAACAGAGGGCAAAAACCTGATACGCAACACGGAGCCGAGACCCTTCTGAAGTCAAATTCGACAACTGAGCAGAAGTCAAAGGTCCTGAAAAGATGGAGAATTTCACAAATGTAAAGGGAAAAGGAAACAAAAAATTATCCCCTAAGACGCAATACATCCAGAACCTGTAGAGAAAAAACAAATAAAGTACAACATACGCGGAAGTGAAGACGGAGAGTCTTTGGAATTGAACTCATACGGGTAGCCTTCTATAAGCTTTTGAAGCTCAATAGCTCGAGTATGCTGATCATTGCCATCGCTGGTGCTGGAGGCAAAAAGATGCAGTTTGCGGAGTGGTTTCAGAAGTTTGAGGGTGAGGAATGGGATGGGATTAGGGTTATGAATCGGTGAAGGAAGAGGCGTTATTGGGGATCGGGATGTGGTGGCGGCGGCTGCTTCCATTGTTGCTGAAGCATGAAATGGTAAGAGATTAGCACGGAGGTTTTCAGGTACGTAGAGAGAGAGAGAGAGAGTCGATTACAGCTTGTGACCTGGGCTGGGAGTGCTAACCAACACTGTTCATTAACAAGCAGGCCAGTTTTCAAAATTTTAACTATATTATGGGTTGGCCCAACCCAGATTGGGCCATACATTATTAGGAAATTTTCTTCTATCGTACCAGATTTAAATTTATTTACGATTTTTAACTGCTATAAATTTAATTTTATATGTACTAAACTTATTGAATTAATTGGAGATTTTACTTGATTTCAGTTACCATAAAAAAAAAAAGTTCACTCATAAGAGAGAGAGAAATGAAAATAAATAACTTACTCATTTAATTTTTTAATTCGTACAAATGGAATTCTTTAATTCACGCAGTTGTCATATGGTATATTATGCGTTTATGTTAGTATATATTCAGTATAGGTGCGCAACTGGAATTTCTTAATTCACGCAGTTGTCAGGTGGTATATATTTCGTTTGTGTTAGTATATATTCAGTATATGTTGTAATGAAAAAAAAAATGTTTTCCATCAAAAAATCATATCTTCCTATTTTTTTTTCATTTTATTTTTTTCTTTTATACATAAAAGTATATATATATATAGTTTAAAAACATATTATAACATATTACTTATGAATAGATTTTATAAACAAAAATTATGTCTCGCGATAAATTAGTTTATCATATACTAAAAATATACTGAATATAAATTATACATATACAAATATATATATATATATATATATATATAATAATAAAAATCAGTTTATGCTTTGTCAAGATAAACCATACATTCAGCCCTTATATTGTACAGAATATATACTCCGTATATACACAGCATATACCCGCAACTTATACAAAATAAAACTATCTATCTGCGGATCAAGCACATCAAGTGTTCAACAATTATCTTCTGAATAGTTTTTCATCCAAAACACATACTGCACATATATTGAACATATACTACATATACACGCAAACCCTGGATCAAGTTCATGCACCGCCAAAAAAAATCAAAAACAACAAATTGCTCCTTTACCAAAACAACAAAAACCATCACGTCGGTCAATTATAAAGGCTATGACATCTGCCTTGGATTCCTCAGCCACTAAAACAGACTCTGAGTGAATATCGGATGGATCACAAAGGCGGGGAAGACCGGCATAGTCCTTCAAGATTATGGCCTTGTGGACAGAACTGTGCTCGTATTTGGATAAATCGGCAGCTGACATGACTTGAGTGGATATAAGTTTGGCTATGCTATGCGACTAGCAAAGCTGTTTCAGTCATCCAAAATTCTCGCACCAAATCAAAGCAAACAAACACTTTTCCCCTGACGGTTGTTAGTGGTTGTAAATTCTGGTTATTGGCAGTAAATCGATGAACCTTCTGACGATCACAGGATCTAGAAAGATGCGGGAGTATTTAAGGGAAGTTTATTTTTGGTATGAATAAGATTTGGTTTTATTTAAGTCAAATGGACTAATTATTTGTATTATCATTTTGGCAGGACCTTGGGATTGAAGCGAGATACACTTTCCATAGTCTAAAGAGAAGGAGGATCGTGGAATTCACTTTCCATATACGTGGTTGGCTTGGGCTCAAAGACTTATCAAAATGTTGAAGATAAAAGGAGGATGAGACGGGAGTTGAGGACGACTTTTTTGATCTAGAAATTTTGTGTTTTATGTTTTTCTTCCTTGAATGATAAAGAGTGATATTAAGAACACATAATTTTTTGTAACAGAATGCTCGGAGGTTCATTCGAATTTAGTTTGAGGGATTCGAACTAGAAAATCCACAAGAGAGTTGTGGTCAGATAAGTAGTTGTGTGGATCATTATTCAAGTAGAGTGTATAGGGAGTCTATACTGTAAATCCTTGGATGATGTATGAGTTATTCACATTAATGAAAGAGATCTGAAGAGAGAGTGGGACGCTCTCCTGAAGGTTTAATTTTTAGTGAAAACTGCTTCCATAATTGTTTGAATCTTCTTTACTGTCTATCTGTTCTATCTTCGTGCAACTCTGGATACTTGGTGTTCAAGTATCAAATTTCAATTGGTATCAGAGCAGGTTTTCGTTACATTACAAAAAGATCTGAGGACTTGGGTTACTGTGCGATCATGAATCAAGAAAGTGGATCGATGTCTAGGCCTCCACAACTGAACAGATCAAATTACTCTTATTGGAAGTCTATGATGACAATTTTCCTACGATTGCATGGAAAAGGTGTGTGGGAAAGTGTTGAAAATGGTTGGGAGCATCTAGTCACGTCACAATCACCCGATCAAGGAAAAGGAGCTACGACAGTCACTGTTCCTAAACCTAAGGACAATTGGACAGATGCTGAGAAGCTTCAAGATGAAGCCAACTATCGTGCCTTGTATGCGATCATGATGACAGTAGATCAAACAAGACACAAGATGATAGTTCATAGTAAGACTGCGAAAGATGCCTGACGGGTTCTACAACATCAATTCGAAGGTTCAACGGCTGTCAAAGCATCTAGACTTCAACGGGAAACTCTTGAATTTGATGAGATCAAAATGAGGGATGAAGAGACAATTGACGTATACTATGCCAGATTCTGTGATCTGGTGAATCAAAGTATGATGCTTGGAGAAGAAATCTCTGAGAAACGTCAAGTACAAAAGATTATGAGAACCGTCGTTCCCAGGTTTAGAGAAAAAATCACAGCTCTTGAAAGTTTCCAAAGAGTGGCGTCGTTGGATGTTGATGAACTTCTTGGAGAGCTCAGGACGTTTGAAATCAACAACAATTATGATAAAGTCAAAAGTAAGGGCTTAGCTCTCAAAGCTGCTGTAGTCGAGGAAAGAGAAGAAAGCGATGACGATGAAGGTCCGTTGGCAGACGATAGTGAGTTGAAAGAAGCACTAGCTCTAATCGCGTGAAACTATGGGAAGATGAGTTAAAGGTTGTATAAGAACAAATTTGCTGGAAAAAAAAAAAAGAGAACAATTTCAGCAAGAATGTGGTGCAGGACAAGAAAAGTAGTATGCCACTCTCAAAACCCGATTCACAACGAGTTGAGAAGGATCAATGCAGGGAGTGTCGAGGCTTTGGACACTTCCAGTATGAGTGTGCTAGTCTTAAGAAGAAGAATAAGTCACTGAAGGCAACCTGGGAAGATTCAGATGAAGAAGGCACAAACGAACCTTCTTTGCACACTAGCAACATTGCAGTTCATACCTCGGTCAAGAAGTTCATGTGTCTCACCACTTCTCATGCTCTGACCAAGTTTGAAGAAAGTTTAAAAGAAACTGAAGCATCTGAAGATAAAGCAGATCAAAATGTGTGTGTAGATCCAGTACATTTACTTGCTATGGAAAAGTGTGCTCAAGCATCTGAAGCTCTACAAAAGTTTCAAAATGAAGTGTTTAGACTTTCAAGAGCAAACAAGGTGCTGAATGAACAAGCATCCGCTTCCACTGCTACTAAAGAGTGTGAACCGGATACTGCAAAGGCTCGAACCTGCATCCTTGAGAGCAGTGTCAGACCCAAATGTTATAAAATGCAGCATGATCTTTGTACAGGTAATGTTAGGGGTTGGAATCAGTCTGGCATTCCAGTGAAGGTTCATGCCAGAACCCTCCCAAATAACCATGCCAAAACTCATCAAGTGTGGGTTGCTAAGAAATCTTTCAACTGTTTTGCCTCTGTTCTGTCTCTCAGGATTTCCTTGAAAGGTAAATGGTATCTAGACAGCGGCTGCTCTAAACACATGATTGGGGAACCTTCTTACTTGATGAACATTCAGTCCTGTTCAAATGGGGAAGTCACGTTCGGTGATGGTGTGAGCAATAAGGTTATTGGAACAAGCTGTTTAAATTTGGGTGGAATACCTAAATTAATTGATGTGTTACTTGTTGATGAACTAAAGACAAATTTTTTGAGTGTGAGTCAACTCTGTGATCAAGGCCTTAGTGTCAGTTTCTCATGTGATAAGTGTTATATGAAAGACAATGAAGGTTTGTGTGTACACTACAAAAAAACCTCTTACATTCCAATGGAAATTTTCCGTTGGAATTTTTTATATTTCCGTTGGAATAGCTATTCCAACGGATATTCCAACGTATAAAAATCCGTTGGAAAAACGGCCGTTGGAATAGCAAATATCCAACGGAAAATCCTATGGAAATAAATTCCTACAGCTATTCCAACGGAAAAAATCCATTGGAATTCCTCAACTATCCAACACGTATTCCAACATAAAATTAAGTTTGTTGGAATATTCATTGGAATTTCCAACGAAAATTTTTGCCGTTGGAATTATAGTGTTTTTTTGTAGTGGTACTTACAGGTTCTCGTTCAACGGATAACTGTTATCTTGTTGATTTTAATGAAAATTGCCTTTTCTCAAATGTGAGCGAACCTAAAATCTGGCATAAACACTTAGGGCATATTGGATACTCTCACCTTGACAAATTGACCAATGCAGGTGTAGTCAGGGGTGTTCCAAAGATTGCTATGAAGGACCAGCCAATTTGCGAACCTTGTCAACTAGGTAAGCAAACGAGGACATCTCACAAGTCACTGAACCATGTTGCTTCTAAACAGATCCTAGAGCTTCTTCACATGGATCTCATGGGTCCAATCAGGTAGAAAGCTATCAAGGTAAAAAGTATATTTTTGTGTGCGTTGATGATTTCTCACGATATACTTAGGTTGATTTTTTGCGTGAAAAGTCAGACACATTCTCTGCCTTTAAATCACTTTGTTTGAAGGTTCAAACTGAAAAAGGCTTTCCCGTAATAAGTATTCGAAGTGATCATGGAAGAGAGTTTGAAAAATCTGAGTTTGCGGAATTTTGTGATTCTCTCGGTATTAGTCACGAGTTCTCAGCTCCTAAAACTCCACAGCAAAATGGAGTTGTTTAAAGGAAGAATCGTACTCTACAAGAAATGGCCAGAGTCATGTTGAACTCCAAAAACATTTCTTCTAGATGGTGGGCTGAGGCAATCAATACATCATGCTACCTCGTGAATGGAGTGTACCTTCGTCGAGGTATTGGTCTGACTTCGTATGAACTCTGGAAAGGTAAGAGTCCTAACCTCAGTCACTTGCATATTTTTGGGTGTAAATATTTTATCTATAATGATAGTGTCGAACTTGGGAAGTTCGATGCAAAATCGGATATTGGATTCTTTCTTGGTTACTCTAACAATAGTATAGAGTACCGTGTTTACAACACAAGTACCTCCACTGTAATTGAGTCCATTAACGTAATCTTTGATGAAAAAAATTCTCAAGTTAGTTTTTCTGTATCTTTTAATCAGTTCGAAAATGTTGAGGCATTGCAGGATCTCTCATGATGTTAAGAGTTCTGCGAACAAGGAGATAGTCGAACCTTCGGTTGGGGATGCTGAAACATCAACTGACTACATTGTCCCTGCGACTCAAGAAGGTTCTGTGCTACCTAGGCGTGATCCTCCCTTAAGGGTTCAGAAAAACCATCCATCCGAGAAAGTCATTGGTGACATAAACTGTAATATCCCGTCGGTTTATCAGTATAATTATGTTTTAGTTCCGATATATTAATATTGTCGAGTATTAATTTTCGGAATTAATTATTTTCAGTCGAAATTACTGGAAATTATTTTCGACGTACCGTTTACGTTCAGAATAATTTTGGTAATTAAGCATTATGTTTAATTGAATAATTAAATATAAGTTAGTGATTAATTAATATTAATCACACATTAATGGCACAAAAACCGTACGGATGTTGGGAAGGATTGTTATATTATAATTTCCCAAACTTATAAGGCATTTTTCCTAAACTTAAGGTAAGTTTTTCTTTCTAATTTTTTTAGTCTAAAACGTGGCAAGATGAGGAGATAAATGGATGATTATTCATCCTAAACTTACTCATGTTATGGCAATTGTCAAGTTAAGAAATAAGCCACGTCTAAGCATTATAATCTCCCAAATTATTGCCTCATCTTTCGGTTCTTATATATGATGGGAAGTTTGGAAAATTTTGGCCATCTCTTTTCATATCTTATGAGTACTTATGCTCATCTTCACTCCATCATCATATTTCCACGGCTTTAGTGTATAAATAGGATATTTGGATCAGATTTTCCCATAAATTCCAGCCCTATATTTCGCACCTTA